TCGTATTCTGCGATGCGCTACGTGATGGTGTGCTCTGCATAAAAAACTCGATTGCTTTAGCAAAGTAGATGAATCCACAGTTTGCGAAAACCACATGAATTGGGCATGTTTGACTGTAATGAAAGGTCTAGGGAAGGTATCACAAGTTTCATTCAATTTTCCAACGCTTTTCTGTCTTGTGAACCTTGCCGCAATGTGGCCACCAGATGAGATACCATATAATGTACGCAGCGTTGTTGCTAAGTGGGAGGGGCTAATAACGTTGGGGGGAGACTTGTAAATGCTGTCAGCATACCAAATCCTGCAAACTGCTTGCTTACTTGTGAATACCGGTCACCTTGTCAATACCGTGTTATCACCTGTCTAGCACCCTGTAAGCTTATCTCAGACTGGTCAAAATCACTGGTAGTGGTTTGAAAAAAAAAACATGAAGTAGTGCTAGTTCCATCTCCCCAGGCTTGACAGGTTTACAGGGTATTCGACAGGAATTTACAAGAATTGCAGGATGAGGCCTGATTTCGAAAAGACAACAGAAAAGGCAAAATCAAAAGCACTCATTAGAGGAGCTTACAGGTGTGGCCCACCTCAAGCTATGAACATATGAGCTACCATAGAGAAATCATCACTGTGTCCTCGCCGTCCGCGGTGTAAACCTGCGCCTATAAGAGGGAACGATTTGTACTCTGCTTGTTAGTTTCATTTACTGTAATGGCTGTATTTACTGTAGCTAATGTTTCTCAGTCAGGTTTCGTGTGCGGTTATAATTGTTGGAGGTAACTCTATGGGAAAAAAATGAAAAAGAAGTGTTCTATTATTTAATGGCAACATTAAGTTTCCAAGGCTTGATTGAGGGTGACTTGCTCGATGGAAAATATCATTGAGGGTGACTTGCTCGATGGAAAATATCATTGCCGAACAAAAACTAGTTCGTTGAGATCATCTCCTTTCTCTTCACATATGCATTTTCTCTGTGGTTACACTCTGGAGTCCTCTTTGAGACAGGAAAGGTGGGATCGTAACTAGAGCATTTGAACGAGAGAGCAGAAACAGCTGCCCGCGAACCCCCGAAGCACCAGGGCATGTTAACAATGGAAGGTTTTGCATCATGTTCACTAGTGTCCAGCTTCTGTCTTCGTATTTGCATCATGTGTCTGGCCCTATTGCATTTACCGTAATAGTCACTTACTTTATCACTATAGTAACCGATTGCGATTAGGACTACTCTGTGATTGTTTCAAACCCCATCAGTGTGGTATTTATCAGAGTAAGATTCTCACTATCAGAACAATTATTTAACCAATCAAGGGCGAGAGTGCGACTCCCTACGAAGACGACTCTCCCGGAAGCAACGATGATGTTCTGAATGGTTCGGAAGAGCCAACACCATTGGCAGTGACCGAGTCAGAGACGGCAAGTCGCAGTCTGGAGCCACAGACGATGGACCAGCAGTCTTCCTCAACGGGTACCACAGTTCCAATTGAACGCCTACCGATTCAACGAAGGTTCAACTATGTTCCTGTGAATACGGTGAATTTTGCGCTCCCGGAAGGCTACTCGACTTCTCGTGAAGACATAAAATTCCTCGGTTCTGGTGCGTATGGGAACGTGATGTAAGTTTATTGTTTAAATTACTTTGATGCATAAGAGTTGATCTATTTTCAGGCACTAGTCAACTATTACTACCCCAATGTTCTGGAATCAGGCTCCTTTTCTACAGAATTCTTTGTACGAGGGTAGATTTGGCTGGAAACTTGTCCCAGGGAAGTCTGACCTGGTGAACATGAATATCTCATTCGGTGGCCCGACAATCCCTGGCGCCTTCGCCGAAATATATTAAATCACCTCATCCGGTGAGAACTTGTCCGTAGAGGTGCTTTGACCTCCTGACATGGGGCGCCACTGAAGCTAAGGGTGGAGGAAACATAGACAACGATGTGAGAGCTGAGCCTGCTGCGCTTGTCTGCACTCTTCCAGCGCGATGGTGGTCTCTTCCTCTGCAAAAGGGGAGCTTAGCAAAGAGAAGGATCATGCGACCACGAAAGGAACTGTTTCGTCTGGCCATGTTTCTTTAACTGCCCTAGCACAAAGCTGGGCACAAAACAACGGGTGGGGTCCGGGTACGCGCGTCGGGGTCAAAAGGAGCACCTGATGGCGTGCCTTTGACGCGGACGGTTTACGATGTCGCGCGAATTACTTACTTACCTGGATACCTGGACGCTTGTTTTCAGCCGGTTCTCTTCAGCGACGAGCACACGCTTCCCTCCATTGTTTGCGATCTTGAGCGGTTGGATCCAGTGTTGGTCTGCAGCTTCTTGGAGTTGCTTCAAGGAGTCTCTCTCCATCGGGTTGCAGGGCGGCCAGCCTTGCGCTTCGCGTCTCTCGGATACCAGAGTGTGATGCGAGTGGTCCACCGATCGTCCGTACGTCTGACCACATGTCCGGCCCATCTCTTCTTTGCATTCCACACGTATTCTGCATCATGGATGCCTGACATTGAGCGCATGTCTATGCTGCGCAGACTGCGACATCTCTGCTCTCGGAGGTTGATATTCAGCAGGGTCCGTTCCAATGCTCGTTGGGCACGTGTCAACATCAGCGTGGACGCCTTGTTCTCTGCCCACGTCTCGGATGCGTAACAAAGTGCAGGCAGTACTGTAGAGTCGAATAGAGCAGCTCGTTTTCCTGACCGACTCTGCTCTCGCTTCCGCCGCTTCCTTCAGTCGAGTATTCTTGTAACGCTGAATCGACTCCTTCACTGCGATGCGGCACGCTTTGTTGATCACGGCGCGCTCCAATGGTGTTGATGCAGGGTTACGATGGACGACAGCGCGTTGCTGCAGAAGTGCGCGAGCCTTGTCGTCAATCCTGCCTTTCGAATCCGTCCTTGTTGTGATAGCCGATGCCATAGCGCAATGTAGAAGTCCTTCTATGAGCATGGTATAGTCTTGCGACAAGTCTTGCGCCTCCTGCCACGTGTAGTGAGCGGCGGCCGCCTCCATGACGTTTGTGTCGTAATGTGGCAGCCGTATGGGAGGAGGTCGGAAGAAGTCGCGTCTTCGGATTCTCGCTCGGAGACGAATTTTTGCTCTGACCAGCCTATGGTCGCTCCCAGTGCGGAATGCATCCACCACGCTGACGTCGAGCAGACTCCACTTCCTGTTAGTGAGAACGTGGTCGATTTCGCTGTGAGTCGTGGCATTCGGACTCTCCCACGTCCATCGCCGATCCTCTTTTTTCGTGAAGAAGCTGTTTCCGTGAAAGAGATTGCATTGCTCTAAGAGATCCATCAAATGTTCGACGTTCTGGTTTGTTTCTCCGGTTCCCAATGCGCGCTGTCGCTGGCATTTCCTCATGGATGACTGCGTTAAAGTCACCGAAACATATTTGTAGTAGGACCGTTCCCTTTTTATCATCTCCTCCAATTCCTTGTAGAACGCGTCCTTTTCTTCGTCCGTAGCTGCTGACGTCGGTGCATAGCAGTTGATAATACTAACGAAAGTGCGCTTGTCGATGCGTAGACGTAGGATGGCCAGTCGCGGGCCGATCACTTCGACTGAATCGACCATGTGCTCGAGCCGATGGTGGACGAGGAATCCAACACCACCGACATTTCTTCCGCTCAGTTTGGCTCCGAGAACAATTAGGTGGCCATCGTTGGTCTTCCTGGTAGCTGTTTCTTTTGCTTTTGTTTCCTGGAGAGCGATGACATCGAAACGAAGTCTTTTACTAGCCTCCACTAATATGGTTTGGTCGGTCGAGGCAATGGTGCGACAGTTGTAGGTGCAGACTCGTAGACAGTCCCATGCCTCGAAAGCCTTTCGTCCTGTGCACTCCAAATCCTGCGGCGGTTTTTGTCTGCAGGTCCCTTCAGGTCGCCGTTTGCTCCAGTGCACGTAGAGCTCGTGCTTCCTTCTGCGCCGCTCCGGACCCTCTGTGTGCGTGTTGTAGCTTGTTTGTTTACCGATCCTCGGGCAGCTAACCCTTTGGTACGCCCACTGTTGGCGGGGATATTCCCGTTTTGCCCCCTCACCACTTCGAGGCCAGTGGTAGGATTTGAGGAGGTTCGCGAGAGTTAAATAAGATATTCGTAATCAGGGCGGCAAGTAACCCAGTCTACAGAATTACACTGACTTCGGTCGGAAAAGTGGAGGCGCCACCTTGCGCCGGATCCAGAAACTAATACAATATACGTGGTCAAGACACCAAATACCTCCAGTATGCGCGTAAGTTTACATCGAATTTGGTGTAGTAGGTGGTAGCGCCAGCGTCAGGAAATAACGCGCTATGGGTAGAGTTTCAGAGAAAAAAATTTAAGTATTTGGGGTATCAATAGTTGAGTAGTACCTTTTTTTGACCAATGCCCTTCAAATCCTCGCTGTAGAAGGCACTTTCTACGAAAAGGGCACTACGATAAGCAAACGTGAATGTAGGGTTGATACAACTGATAAGCCGGCGTGGTTGCACCGTACAAAGAATGAGGTTTTTATTTTTAGCAAAACTACTGTCAAGTGTCGCGATGGAGCTATCCGTGAAGTCGCGGTGAAGAAGTTCAGAGATCCCTTCTCGGATAATGCTCAGGTTAGTTTCCAGAGTTCGTCTGCAAGAGCTTTTAAAGGAATTTGCCTACAGTCAGGCACAATATTGCAGTACTTCACGGAATTTCTAAACCCCTTTATTTAGATGTCGTTTTTCATTCAGCTCAAGTATATTTGATTAGAGTAATAGGCTTTTTCTGGCGCTGATACTACTACAGCGTCTCTGGGGGCTTTAGGTTTCGAGAAAACTCTTCTATCGTGGTTTATTTCTGTTTCGGTGTTAGTTTTATTTTGCGACCCTTTTGTTCTCAAAGATGTGGCTAGAAATCCATCAAAGTTCATCCCGTGATGAGTTCCTAAAAATATTACATTTGCTCGACGCGAGGAGGAGAACTTTTTCGTGATAGAGGGGTACCCACAACTCCACTTCCTTGTCAGGAATACAGCTTAGTCTTAAATTTGGTCAAAGGGTTAGTGAAACTGAATAGCGCTCTTACTTCAACCACATGAGGTCAGGTGCATATTGTCGTTCTGTGACGCTCTTCCTCATTCGTAGAGCTTGTGTACGGTAGCCCTGCTACGTTTTCCCGCCAGTAATTTGTTTCTCCCACTCAAATCGCTTAGATTTAGGAAGAGCGTCACAGAATGGACTCATCAACGGAAAATTTCAGGCGCGGATGATTTATCGGGAGATTAAACTTTTACAAATCATGCGACACGATGGAGTAATCCGGGCCATTGACCTTTATACACCTAACAACGTGGAGCATGAATTCAAGGAGCTGTAAGTTAAAAGTTCTCTTATTTGTAAGTATCAAGTGCGTAACCCACATCCTAAGGTGCTCCATTTACTCAACTACACTAATTGGTTGCTAGCGTGGTGGTTCAGAAGGTAAAAAAATAGGCAAAACGGTCACGCAAGCTGCTCTGTGAACTGGATTGAGCGAACCACGTGTTTATGAGGGTTTTCGTCGGCGCAGTTCGGCTTGGGGAGTGGGTTACCAAATGGTGAAGCAGCTAAGCCCTTACAAGGCGTTTGTGAAAACCCGTAAATTACAGTGAGCGAAGCAGCTCACTCGTACCATTTTGCTGCCTTCCAGAATTCACTGATATCGCCAAAATGAGACCTGTTATTTATTTCGAAGGTTGCTAGGGGCGGGCTTCTGCACGTAATTGGTGAAAGGGCTGCGAAAAGATGTTTACTACATTAAACTTAACCCTCCCACCAAAGACACTGGCGACAACCGCCCGTCTCCGGCAATTGTCCTCACCGGCCTAAAAACAAAAGGAACTCGCGAAAGTGCGAAATGTTCCCTCCAAGCCGAAGAGCAACGTTTTTACCTTTTTCTAAAGAAGTAGCTCGTTTGTTTCAGATATGTTGTCACTGGATACGCTGGTGATAGTATTGTAAAAATATTGCATGATCAAAAAGTTACTGGAAGAGTTCACATCACTCCTGAGCACGTACCTTTCATTATTTATCAACTTCTGAGGGTTTTAAAATATATACATTCTGCAAATGTGAGCTTCTATATTTGGAAACATTGTGGTAATTCACAGCTCTGAATATTTTTTCCTTTTGCAGATTATTCACAGGGACCTGAAAACCAGGAAATCTAGCCTTAACATGTGATAGTGACCTTACCGTATTGGATTTTGGAATGGCACGTTCATTGGAACGTACTGATACTTCACTCACGCAATATGTAATGACAAGATGGTATCGTAGTCCAGAAGTAATTTATTGGAATATTGATGGCTACAATGAACAAGGTTAGCATTTCACTCCGATGCTCCATCATAGGTTCAAATTCACAATCCGCGATTACGGGTAGATTGAATCCCTCCCGCTAGCAGGTACCCATTCGCCTCTATCACCCCATACATATAATTCGCTTTGTTTGTTTGTTTGTTTGCTTGTAAGTACAGTTTAAATTGTAAGTTTGAGTTTGTAAGTTTGTCTGGTCGGTTCGACCCTGAAGAACGACTTGGAGAGGTCCAGTCAAGGTGGGGATAGGTAGGGCATGGGACAAGAAATAAAAAGCACACTTGACCTATGGGAAGCCCCGCCCACAGTGGGCGGGGCACTCGCCGAAAGTTTGGGTTCCGCAGAAAAATGTTCATAATTCGCTTCCGGAGCAGCTTAAAGATGGGGAAAAAGGGACTAAGGTTAGTAAGGAGTCGCCAGACTAACTGTGGCAGGTACACCCTAAATGGGCGGGGCGTACTCAAGGTGGGCGGTGCTTCTCGCAAAATTCAGTAACCCGGTTCGCGAGAGTGTTTGGAAGTCGCAAAAAACTCAGTGTAGAATGTAAATATCTGCGGCGATACAGGGCATGTGGCCGCCACAGTGGGCGGAGCTCAACACACTTCGATCGCAGGGTATTCATTTTAAAAGTTTGTAGCTCGGTTCCAGAACACTCCAGATACCGGAAAAAAGTGGATTAAGGTTCAGTAGAGGGCTAACTTCTCTGCCCGTATTTCTCTAAGGCCGCTATCGCGATGAATCTTGGATATCGTGGAGGTAGGGGCCTCCTCCGCTTACTTCGTTCTGTCCCATATCTTTGCATCCTCAAAGACGTACTTCACCTACATTCAGCTTTTCTTACCTCCCATCATCCAGAACGAGCTTCTCATGAGGGATATGTAGTACTCAGACACCGTAAACTCCATTCCATCTGTCTTTGGAAATGAGAGGGGCATCTGTTGTATTTCTAACCTTTCGCTTATTTAGTCGATGTTTGGTCGGTGGGCTGCATAACGGCTGAGTTAATGCTAGGAAAACCGTTATTCCCCGGAGAAGATAGTGAGTCACCAACTTTCTCTCAAGTCGAGTGGGAGGTCTCAACTAAGTGTCTATAGAAATTGTTGGTTTTAGCAAATGCACAATATGAAATGATAACTGAATTATGCGGCAGTCCAGATGAAGATCTCATGAAGAAGGTGAGTCATGTTTTTATTCTCAAGCCCATTGTTTGCTATGCCTTTCCCCCGTTTTGTTTGGGAGGTATCGATTGTGTACCTCAAACCTACTTACTAAATGGCATGCATTATGCAGAGCGTTCCGACTATAATGGGTTTTCTCCTATGAACAACTAACCTGACATTGTCGGCTTTATATATTACCTCCTTCCTCCAGATAGAGTCGAATAGCCCGGCTACACGACGTGTCGTCGAGTCGTATCGCCATCATGAGCGTCAAGATTTCGCTAAGCGATTTATTGGCTGCCCTCGTCTGTTCGTGGACTTCCTAGACAAAATTCTTGTGCTAGATCCTGAGAAGAGGTAAGCTCCTTCTTGCAGAGTTCTAAATTATAGAAGTGAACTGGACTAATCACTTCAGGCTCACCGTTGAACAAGCTTTGGCACATCCGTATTTTGCTGATTATGTGGATGCCACGGATGAACCCATCGCAACATCGTCATTCGATTTGAATGATAATCCAAGTAGAACGCGGGACGAGTGGAAGGGTAATTTGATTCGTAATTCATTTGAGCTTTTCCGCTGTCAGGCAGTGGGGGAGGAAGTAGAATTTTTCGAAGCTCCTTCCTATTCAGTGCAGTGGTGATCATGTGGTGAACTCGTCATTGAGTGCGGGACTTGAGCTCTTAATTCCTTTTGATCAACTGAATAGGACAAGCTTTCAGTGGTAGGGCAACCAAGTTGCACGCATAGAGAAGGTTCAGATGTTGACTAAGCTTAATGGGACATGCACGATTGCTGTTGTTCGTAGAGCATGGGCCCAGTTCTATGAGCACTCGGGCAGAAACTATTCCAACGGTGACGCAGCTCTTTATATCCAGCACTAACGTCAGTTCATAGACATCTTATGATGGTCAAAAGACGAAAGTAGTGTAACGACAAGCAGCGTTGCTTGCTCTGTCGTGTATCACATCTCGAGTGGGCTCCCGTTCCCAAGCCATTAACCCCTGTGAGGTCGACTAGATATAACTAGGTTCGCATAGAGACCATGAATCGTACATGGGATGGTCCCGCTAGGCTAAATTTTACTCGAGACCACAAGAAATGCCGCTATGATTTCGATTGGAACTGGAATGCATTCAAAGTAGGTAGAAACCGATTTCGGGTTTCTTCTGTGAGACTGATTCTTTTCTTATAGACCGTAATAGTGTTCCGTGGAGGTTTTGTTGGATTGGGAATGAACGAAATCCTGTTTCCGTTCCTTTCCCCAACCTCCATATGAATTTGTTTGGAATCTGACATCTTGTCATAGCGTACGAAACTCCTCGAACCAGTTCGAAACTGGGTCGGTGTTGTGGTTGGGTGTGATTCATGCGTGCCAATAGAATGTGTTGAACGCAGTAGGTTTTTTGACGATAGTGGAATTTATATACTGGGCCGGTAATAATCTGCGTTCCCATATGTGAGGCGCTGATGCAACTGGAGGGGAGGGCACGACCAAATGAACACTTCCCCTTTCACGTTCAGGTTTAGAATAGCCGGCACGTCCAGAGCATGCGGTCCTTGTCGCTAAGTGCAGAAGAGCACGCTCTGTCGCGCTGCAGCTTGGCCCTTCCCGCCTTAGATTGCTTGTCAACCTATAGCGCTCCCTTCCCCACCCCTTTTTTTCCTTCCTCCCTTCTATTTCTTACTTCCTTTTCTCTTCTTTTCCATTCTCCCTTCAACTGCTGGGTCAGTAGATGCAATGAGAATGTAGCTCCGTGCCCTCACATTGAGACTATGTCCGGTTGACAGAAGTCCTCTAACGGGCCCCTCCCTCCGCCGAAGACCTGCACTTGCGGGCGGAACCAGAAATCATAAGATTTCTTTTTCAGGCCTTATTTGGCAGGAAATTCAAAACTTCGTTGGCGACGAGTGTTCTCCAGAACTTCCTTCTTATACAGAGTATTAATTTGGATCTGGTCTGTTTACCCATTCACTGTCATTCAGTTTCACTTTTGAATCACGCTTTATTGATAAGTGAGAAAAGTACCTTCACTACGTCCATGTGATGTGTTTGTCTTTACATAGGAATTCTGGCATTAGTACGAGCATCGGTGTTCATATGTTCTATTTGAAATGTTGTTATCAATTTTCCCTATACATTAGGAAATATTTGGTGATATGTATTTGTTGATATGTGAATTGAATTCACGTTGTGCGTGTGAAATACTTACGGTATGTTTTTTTTCCCGAATGGTGATACGATTCAATGGACATTTAGTCATTTACGATCAATTCCACGTAATTTGCTCACTTGCATATTTTGGTAGGATTACTTGCAATACTATTAGGTTTGTATAAATGTTTAGAACAAATTGCAGTAGTTTTGTTGCGAAGGTTTCAGCTTTTGACATATTTGTATAGTTATTCCTTATATTATTCTGAATGCAATAAGGGATTTCGTTGAATGAGAGTGGGCTTCAATAGAGGTGGAAACAATGAGGCCGCGTCTAATACTTTGCGGCTGATGAGATTCGGCGATCTCGAAGTACGCCAGATCGCCGCTGGTCGCTAAATCTCCCGAACCACTAGGTCGCCGAGTCTCCCAAAGTACCGGATCGCTCAATGTCCGCAGGTGCCAGACTTACACTATAGTTTCATCGTGCAATCTCTCGAATTGCCTTATTTCGCAAACCGCCGACTCTCCCCAGTCGCAACTTATCAGCGCGGCCTAAGGTACATTGGAAAACTGGAAAAAGTCGTGACATCCTTGTTGCTGGATATCATGCAGAGTGGGTGAGTAGGCCTATGAGTTTACCTCTTCGGGTACACCACTGG